CTATGTCATTAGTCCTCACAACTCAAAGCTGGATCCTAAGGCGAAGAAGTGTGTCTTCCTTGGGTATGCAGGAAATCATAAGGGGTATTTTTGTTATGATCCAGTCTCTGGGAGTCAATATGTTACTATAGATGTCACATTTTTGAATTCACACCATTTTTCTCAGAGGGGTTCTTCTCAGGGGGGAGTGTTTTGGAGAAGGAAGTGAGCAATCTATACCATTTCCTATTCCAACTCCTTTGTCTACTCCAGTGTTTGACCTACCTATCTCACCCACTTTGCAACCTCCATTACATCCTGTCTTTCAGTGTTTTACACAACAGTGCCTATGACAGCAAAGGGAGGTTGATTCCACAGTAGAGGAACCCACATCACTCCCTATCAGCTCATCGGAGATTCCAAGTTCGACTGACACAAACACAGATATGCCTCTTGCTCCACCTAATGGTATGCCCTCTCAAGTTTCAATGGTGTTAAGCCTCCTCAAAGCCCAAATCCAACACCGCCTTATTCTCTTCAAATGGCATGAGAATGATCGTCCACTTCAGTCCCAGTTTGTTTGACACTTCTTCAAGCACCGACTTCCAGTCGTTCACCCTGTTTTTCACATTGAGCACTACTTTTTTCTTCCAATCTTCACTTTTCCCTTCTACCAGTATTTTGGGTGTCATAGTTGATAGAGCCACCGAAAAGGCATCTAACTCTTCCTCTGTCCCCAACTTTTCTAATCTTTTTTTCTATTGGAAACGGTAACTTCATTAAATAACTTTCCAGATTTAAATACAGCTGTCAACCCCTAAGTAGGTGTTGAGCCCCAGTTATCTTTCTTACAAAATTGCCCAAAACATACTCTCCCTCACAGTCCCTTGTTTAGCCAACGTGTCAGCTAAACCATTAGCTGATCTCCTTGTCCATTTGAAGCACCAATCTCCCTTGTTGTATTGTGGATTTCCCTTATGGGCAGTCTATAAATCCAGGCTCCCAACTTACCAGATTGCAGCCACTCGATCAACAATTTAGAGTCTCCCTCAATCTCAATTTGGTGTAGCCCCAACTATTTTGCATATCTTACACCTTGAAGCAAGGCCATCACCTCCGCTCTCAATGAGTCCCCCACTCCTATTGGTCCTGAAAACAAAGCCACAATTCTGCCATTTTCATCTCTGAAAACTCCTCCTATACCTGAAGGGCCCGGGTTACCTCTTGAACTCCCATCACAATTCAATTTCACTCTTTGTTGTGTTGGTGGGGACCACAATCCTGCACAATAGGTTTCATGGAAGTTGTAAAAGCCACCACTTCCCAATTCCTGTAAATATCTTCAGCTGAGAAGTCTTTAAACAAATCCAAAGTTTTCAACCAATGAATAGTCATAATAATTATCCTATCTACAATTGCCTCCTTGGACTTCTCCACGCCTTTAAAGATTCAATTATTCCTTCCTTCCCAAACTGGCCAGCTTTTCTAATCTCTTTCTTCTCTCCATCTCCTCCTTCAAGACCACCTTGTTTTGCTTCAATCTTTCTTCAACTCGTTTCTGAACCTCCTGTTGTTTCTGCTTCTCGTCGTCCAGATCTTGGTTACTATTTGATACAATTCATTGGCTATCCCAATCCACCCTTCTAATTTTTTACCTTCTGGTATAATAATTACCTGTTTTCTCCCTTTCTCAAACCTCTCTTCCAATGTTACGAACCATCCTTTTGAGCTTCTTCTTCTATTTGCCATGTAAGTTTTATTTGGTAGTCTTAGGGTGCCCTTCCATTCTGCTAGCCAACTTACATTCGCTGCTCCATCAAGAAAGCCTTGAAACCAAGCGATCGCTGCCCCTATAAGATAAACTGTTCCTTTTCTACCTTCCCTGATCTTCACTGTTATCTTTTTTTGGTGGAATACCTCTTCCATCAGTAGTTCTTCCGACTCCACCTTGATGAATCTTCTCCATCTACCGACCTCTGGGAAATCCCCCAACTCTTTGTGTATCGTCCTCTATTCCATCTCTAAGATTTGTCGTTGTTCGTCGTTGTCACGGTTGTCACCATTCCTATTTCTTGCCACCTAGAAATCCTCAGACCCACATCGGTATGAGTTTGTGCTTCGTTGGGAGGATTTCAGCACTAATTGAGTCACATTGACTGAATCACTTCAAGCTCGGGGAAGATACCAGAAACAACTTCTACCAGGCCTTCCTTTCCTCCCTTGACTCTGTGTCTATACCCAGAAGTGTTAGTGAAGCTCTCTCCAAACCTAAGTGGAAGACAGCTATGCAGGAGGAAATGAAAGCATTGATTAAAAATCAAGCATAGGAGATTGTGGATTTGCCTGATGGCAAGGAGACAATTGGATGTAAATGGGTCTATACAGTGAAGTACAAGGTTGATGGAAGTATAGAAAGGTACAAGGCGAGACTGTTACAAAAGGGTATACTCAGTCTTATGGCATAGATTACTTGAAAACTTTGTGGCAAAGATGAGCTCAATTTGGATTCTTCTATCACTAGCAGCTACATGCTCTTGGCCACTCTTCCAAATGCCTTTCTCAATGGGGACTTGTAGGAAGTGTATATGGACTTTCTAGGTGGCTTCTACAATAATGTGGAAAAAGGAAATGTATGCAGGTTAAAGAAGTCTATATATGTTTTAAAGTAATCGCCTAAAGCTTGGTTTGATAGATTTAGAAGTGCATTGGTTGTATTTGGCTATACTCAAACTCAATCTTATCATACTCTTTTTTGTGAAGAGGAGGGGGTCACTAGTGTCAATTTTGATAGTATATGTGGATGACATTGTAGTCACGGGAAATGATTAGAGTGAGATTGATACCCTGAAAAAGAATCTGCACAAAGAGTTTGAGATTAAGGATCTTGAGGAGCTGAAGTACTTTCTGGGCATTGAAGTGGCAAGGTCCAAGCATTGGATCTTCATCTCACAAAGGAAATATGTTCTAGATCTACTACAGGAAACAAGAAAACTTAGGGCAAGGGCAGCCAAAAGACCTATTGATCAGACCATAGGATAAATGCTTCAAAGGGTGAACTAGTGAAGGATGTTGGAAGATATCAAAGGTTAGCGAGGCGGTTGCTATACTTATGTATGACATGACCAGACATCTCTTATGCAGTGAGTGTGGTAGTCAATACATGCATGCCCCATGAGTTCAACATTGGGAGGCTATGGATAAGATACTTTCCTATTTGAAGGGACACCCAGGTAGAGGCATATTGTTTGCTGACCATGGACAGTTAATGTTAGAGACTTGCATAAATGCTGATTGGGCAAGGTGCCTAAATGAGAAGAGATCTACATCGGGAGTTTGTACTCTTGTTGGAGGTAATTTAGTTTCATGGAAAAATAAGAAACAGATAGTTGTGGCAGGGTCAAGTGTAGAAGCCGAATACAGAGTCATGGCACATGGTGTTTCAGAGCTCCTCTGGATCCGTTCCTTGTTAGGGGAGATTGGAGTTGAGGCTGAAGAACCTATGATGCTTTATTGTGACAATCAAACAGCAATTAACATTGCCCACAACCCAGTTCAGTATGATAGGACGAAGCATATAGGAGTGGATAGACACTTTATAAGGGAAAGGGTGACATCTAGAGAAGTTTGTTTGCCATATGTTGCATCTGACTTGCAGCTTGCTGATGTTCTTACAAAAAGAGTTGCAAGATACAAGCTAGAGCATGGTCTACGCAAGTTGGGAATGTGTGACATTTATTTACAACTTGAGGGGGAGTGATGAGTTTTTGGCTGATATAACATGTTTTTTATTTACATAGCATAGTTATGGAGTTATTAGTCGACTTACTAAGGGCATACTTGTCTTTGTACTCTCTTTTATTTATTAGTATATAATCTAATGAAAGGGGCGGCCAAACCTAACTCTAAGCTTCTCTCTTTCTCAGCTGAAACCTTTTCTTCTCTTTCTTTTCTTCTTTCTTTTACAGTTTTTATATCAAAACAGGTTGTCCAAACTTTTCTACTGTTGTAATACTATTTGAGGTAGGGCAGTAATTGCTACCGTACCAAAGGAATGCTTGTACTTCTTACCTTACTTTCATTAATAAATGGACTCAGCTGCTTATTCCCCCCCCCCCCCCAAAAAAAAAAAAACATGATCTTTTACCCAATGTACCACTTTCACTGCAATACTCTGAATGATGTCTTCTTTGCTTTGTGCCTTCTCCTTGAACATTTTTGCGTTCCTTTCTTCCCAAATTGTCCAAATCACTCTAGCCTTGTGCATCTCTACATAAACTTGCCCCTTCTCCTAGGTATAGTGATGAACATCATGTTCCTTTCTTCCCAAAAATAGTACGCAGAAATTTGTTCTCTTTTCTTTTTCTTTCTTTCTTTTCTTCCTCTTTCTTTCTTTTTCTTTTGGGGAGGCAGTAGTCCACTGATTGTATACCTACAGAAAAAACAGTAGCACCTAAATAGACTCATCCCACTGACACTTTAGATCAAACAATTCTCTCCTTGAAAAGTCAAGAGGGGAAAACAGATATGGGAAAGATCAAATGAATATCACATGAAAATGGTTAGGATTTTTTATGGTCTATTTACATGTTTTACATCCAAGTGTGAGGTTTGCAAATTGAAATGACTGAAAACCTACCTAGAACATTGTTGCAAGAAATTCCTCATGTCAAATCTATGAAAAGGTGGGTAGGAACCCATCATGTTAAAGCCTTCTAGTGCACCTAAGACCTTAGACTCCCTCCAAAATGTACATATAAAAGGAAAAGAGAGAACATCAGAAATCCAATTAAAATATTTCTTTTTCATGGACCTTTCAAGGCTCTGCAAATTATATCAGTGAAAAATAATAAATTCAATTACAACATTTTTTTTCTCCATGGACCTTTTAAGGCTCCATAAGATATATTAATTGAAAATATAGAAGTTAGTAGATAAGGCTATATATTTAGAACAATTTCTAGATAAATATCTGCTTCTAAGACAAGCTAGTGAAATATCAATAAGAGAATAGATGCCCCTACCATTCTGGCTGCACGCATCTCCATCATGAATGCTTCTTGAGAATTCTTGACTGGTGGATCATTGACCTATAAGAAGTAATAACCTCTTGAGGAAAATACTTGTGTTTGCATCAACGATGTTAACTTGAATTTTGAATCAGGGCCCAAACCATTAGGCTTTAGAACTATACATTTCCTTTGAAATTTAAAAAGGAAATACAATGCACCATAAAATTAAATATATAGAAAAATATAATACATTGAATTCTTCTATGATACATCAGTTAATAACAGCATTTCATCAATAGACCAAAAATGCATTAACATAGAGGAAATTAGCTAGCCTAGAAAGGATATATTTTAGTTAGAAACAAAACAATTCCAAATTCAAGTCCCTCATGCCAAATTCCAAATGCATAAAGTTATCATATTTCAATGTGATGTTTTCTTCTATGAGTGCTTCCACAGAAATTCTTGTTTGATCTAAATATTTCAATGTGATGTTTTCTTCACCCTTGGAGTCACTATTGATTAAAGTATATCACATTTGAGTACACTCACTATGATGCAAACCATAACCTTCCTTTGTCATAGCTAGGCATATGGGCCATGCTCAATGAAATCCTTGGTACTTGCCTCCTGCCCAATAAGAGGCAAATCTGTTGCTTCTATTTTTTTCCTTTTTTTTTATGTACTGGTAGATGAGGTGGCTTCTCAATCATTGTATGTTAGCTTGATCAGGACCCCTCCCCTGTGCCCCAGAGAGAGAGAGAGAGAGAGAGAGATCTTAATAAAAAGGTCAGTTTGTTGACTAGCCTGTAGAAATCCTGAAGGCCTGGTGATTATGACATCTTATATCTGTAAGGCTTTATTGAGATAAACAGATTTTAAAGATGTGTCATATGCTGCTTTCCTAAATTATTTTTGAATAGACAGTACTGGTAACTTCATATGCTTGCCTTTTTGGGCCCACATTGAGTCCTAATGTACAATTTCTTGTATACATGGGGACTGTATCCAGACTCATAGTTTTTTGATTGAAATGCACCATACTGTCACCAAGAGAATCCTGAAGGTGCTAGTACAATACAAACTGAAATTGTAAGGATTGGTTTTCCGTGTTTACAATATAAATAAATAAAATCATTTAAAATTTTAAAAAATACTTTACTTTTTTTGAAAAAGGTAAGGTATATCTCATTAAATCAAAAGGTGTATAGAAAAATGAATATATAAAATCACTTAAGAAGAGATGGTCTACTTAGCATCATTCCACTTGATAGGGATGCCATTCCATGGTAATAGTGAATAGGAAGGAAAATAGCATGATGAATTTTACAGAGGCCTTAACTCATCAAAAAAAAAAAAAAAACAAGGACTTATTCATATGGTTTGGCTTATATGAGATGAGCATGAGAAATCCTTTTTATAAGTAAATTTGAATCAATTGTATAAATAATATATATATATAAGAAAGGCTTTAATAAAAAAAAAAAGAGGAAAAAAAAAAAACTCTACAAAGGATCGTAGGGGAGAATTGCTGAGACTGCAGCAATCAGTGACAGTGCATGGGTATCAAACTTAATTGGAGACTTTGGCACCCATTCCAGCTCAGAGAAGATGGATTCCTAAATAGATGAATCGAGTACCTGATAGATTAACAAATCAAGGTAGAAAGAACCTTCTTGTATAACTACAGCTCATTGCCTTATTAGTTTTTGTGCACGGGAAGGATCTCTCCATGGTTTCTGTTATTATACACATGTAGATATTCCTTTTTTTTTTTGAAAGATGGAATAAGATTTCATTAAAATATAAAATAAAGAAGGCAAGAGATTCTTTCTATTGGGAAATCTTCCTTGGCAAGGTAAATACTTGCGATATGCTACAGAGAATAAGGCCTTATGTATGCCTTTCTCCTCACATGCGCTCCCCCTTTGTATGGAAAGTAGTGAGTCCCTGGCACACCTATTATTATCTTGCTCCTTTGTGCATCACATTTGGGAATTTTTTGTACTCTCTTTGGTTGCAGGTGGGTTTCCCCTCAAGATGTGGCAGGACTCTTCAACCAGGACTTTTTGAGTCAACCAAAGAAAAGAGGGAAGGTTATGTGGAAAGCTACAAAGGCAGCTATTTGCTGGGTGATTTGGGAAGAAAGGAACAACAGAATATTTATGGACAGAAGTAGAACAATGGAGGAGGTAATTGACACCATCAAAGTTAAAGTAGCTCACTAGGTAAGATCTATGCATATCTTCCAAGATTTCTCAATCATAGACATTATCAGATCTTGGACAGAAGTAGCACAATCCTCAAGAGTAAAAGAGAAAGTAAGGATGGAATGGAAACCTCCAGAAGGTAACAGGTTTAAACTGAATTTTGGCGGAAGCTCTTTTGGAAATCCATGACTGTCAGGTATTGGGGGAGTAATCAGAAATTCTGGAAGGAGAATATTAGATTTGTTCTCTGGACCGATTGACATGGGCAACTCTCTAAAAGCAGAGGTAATGGCATTGCTACAAGGGCTGAAGATAGCTAAGCAACAGGGAATGAGGCACATTGAGCTTGAATTCAAATGGATTAGAAGGAGTGCAAATGGGCTAGCTGATTATCTTGCTAAACAAGGGGCTTTGAGGCAACAATTGTTTTAGGCTGCAATGTAAAGTGGGACAGAAACTTGTAATAGTGTGGGAGCTTTAATCCCATACACAAAGCTGTAAAACCTTATTTTAACCCTAGTTTCAAATAAAATTCTCTTTTGCTGATCAAAAAAAAAAAACAAAAAAGAAGAGATTCCCCCACATAATTACAACTGACTCAGCAAAAACAAGAAAAATATTTCTGATTACAAATTAATCATCCCAAATACCCTTTGCCACTGAGAACTACAAAGAGAGAAACTCAAGCCTAAGAATTCAGTTTTTTCGTACCAAATAAAAAAGAAATTTTTTTGAGAAAAAGAAAGAGAGATACAAGGAGGTGATACGACATCACTCACAAATAGAGTATACTCTCTGATTCCTCTCCAACCAAATCTACCAGCAGATGACTATAGGGACCAGATTCCAAAAAATAGAACCCTCTTGCTAACAAATGGGATTTCCTACCCACTCTCTACCCGCCGTGAGGCTGCAATTCACAGCAGGTAGAGAGTGGGTAGGAAAAGTGAGTAGCAAATCTGGGTTCCTTGCTAAAGAGTAAAGACTTTGGGTGGCCAAGCTGCAACTACATCTGCAGATGTTCTTTTGTACCAAGCACTTTTTAAATGGTGTTACTCCAAAAGAAAATCCAGATCTGGATTCTTTTTTGTAATTGAGTGGCAGTGGCTGGGATTGTTTACCATTGTACCAAGCACTTTTGTACCAACCCTTTTTGCCTTTACTCCAAAAAAGGGAAAAAATCAAATATGAGATTCTAGTTGGGTTAAGGTTACATGAACCAACTATATGACTCAGCCTTTTGGAAAATTCAAGGATTAAATGTTGTTACAATGGTAAACAATCCCAGCCACTGCCGCTCAATTACAAAAAAGAACCCAGATCTAAAACATACAAACCAAGATGGATCCTAGTCCTCAAAACAAATAAATAAAGCACTTAAAGATGAAAGAATCTTAATTGGTTGTGATTATCCAAAGCAACTGTGGCACATCCTTTGAACATAGAATATAAAGTCATTTGTTTCATTGTTTATTATTCAATTTTAAAAGTCAATACAGGACTATAAATACTTTGGGTAGTACCCTTTTTTGTTTGAGTAACTATTTTTTATAATAACGGAAACAATATTATTAATTAAAAAGAGAATAAGCACAATAGAAGAGAAAGAAGGAGAGACTTCTATTGTGCAAAGCCTTTTCTCTCCTTCTTACTTTACTTGTCCATTAAAAAGAGGGAGAATTATGCACAGATGTATTAGGGCAGCAGTCTGTTGGTTTATTTGGGAAGAAAGAAACTTACGTATCTTCTTAGAAAAGGAGGATACCATTGAGAATGTAATGGACTTGATACACTTAAATAGGGGTGGCCACGAGTCAAGCTTCTCACAAGCTATTTGAGCTCGGCTCGGTTTAAACCGAGCTTCAAGCCAAACTCAAGCCTGATATATAGGCTCATTTGCTAATCAAGCCGAGCACAAGCCCAGTAAAGCTCGGTTTGTAAGCCTACTCGAGCCTAGTATAATAAATAAATATTTTTTTATTATATACATGCATACATACATATAAATAAACATATAGGGCCCATTTGGTGCGTCTTTTTGGGAAGATCTTCTGGTAGCTCTGACAGTCAAAAGACGCATTGAGCTTTTGCATGAAGATCTGAGCAGCCTGAAGCACGTTTGGCAGACACGCGTCTTTCCGCGCGAGAATAAAACACAAAAGACACGAGAATCTTCATTTGGAGCTTCCCGAAATCAGCCAAAAATGGGCTTTTCACGTCTTTTCGGCATTCCGTCTTTTGGCGACTAGATCTTCCACACGCCAAACAAAAATAGACCGAAAATCGGTCTTCCTGACTTGTAAACAACCAAAAGACTGCACGGAAAGACACGCCAAATGGGTTCATAATAAATCATTTTTATTATATTTATATATAATATTTTTATGTTTTATGCATAATAATAAATAGTTTTTATAATCCTTATTTTTTGTATGTAAAATAAAAATACTCTTATATGTATATTTTTTATTTTTTATATGTATAATAATAAATCATTTTTATAATTCTTATTTTTTATATATAAATAAAAAATATTTTTATATGTATAGTTTTTATTTTTTAGAAAAAAAATTGAATTGCAGTCGAGCTCGAACTTGTGAGCTTTGAACCGAGCCAAGCTCGAGCTTGAGCCTAACACAATTTCAGCGAGCCGAGCTCAAATAGCCAAGTATTCGGCTCGGCTCGGCTCGGCTCGGCTCGGCTCGGCTCGAATCCACCCCTACACTTAAGGGTGGCTCACTGGCTGAAATCCTTGAACCTATTCACAGTTTTCTCCTTGGATGACTTGTTGAGAATTTGGTTAGAGATAGCTAATTCTGCCCGGGTTAATAAGGTTTCTAATCCTTCTTGGACCTCTCCCCCCTCTGGATTCATAAAGCTGAACTTTGATGGTAGTAGCTTAAGGAACCCGAGGTTCTCTGGTATAGGGGGAGTCTTTAGGAATGAGGAAGGGCTTATTATAGCCATGTTCTCAAGCCCTATTGTAGAAGGAGACTCTCTTAGGGCTGAGATCCTTGCGGCTCTATAAGGTGCCCAATGAGAAAAGGAGTTGAACCTAAGAAAATCGGTAATTGAAGGTGACTCAGAGGTGGTGGTGAGATGGCTAAAGGAAGACAACTCTGGTATATGGAACTACAGCAATGAAAGGAAAAGGTTTAAGTGGATAGGGACATTGAAGTGAAATACAGTTGGGTAATGGGTTAGTCAAGAATAGGCATAGAGCATCTAATCATTGAAGGGGATTCCCAAGTGATAGTGGGCTGGCTAAAGGATCCGGACACTGTGATTTGGGGTTTTAGAGATCTTCTCAAAAAGGTTAAATGATTAACAAGGAATATGACAATCAGAGTTCAGTGGGTAGGCAGATCAGCAAACTCAATGGCTGATTCACTTGCAAAACAAGGGGTTCTCCAGGATACTTTATTTTGGGCTTATGTGTAATTTCTTTTGTATTTATAACTCTGTAACTAACTTTAAAGGAAATGTCGCATTTCATGCCTTTCTATGGGTTGCATGTAACTCTTATTTGCTGGTTTAATAAAATTTTACTCATTTATCAAAAAAAAGGGGTTAGCCAAGCAAGGGGTGAATAGGGATTCCTTTTTTGGGCTTATTTCTAATTTTGTATCCTTTGTTTTGTGCCGTTGGGGGAGTTAAGAAAGTTTACTTCCCTCCTCTCTTGTAATTAAAGTTTCATAATCTTAATATTTGCCAATACTGATCAAGAGAGAGAGAAGGGGGGAAGGAATAAACTCTCTTGGCCCCTCCCCGATTGAAATTACATCATAGCCAAAATAAACTGTTCCTTCCCACCCTATCCCTTGTAACAAGTCAACAGCTTTCCTCTTCTCACATATATAGAACCACCATCCAGCCTCCTCTTTTATCTATGCATAATGTGTAGCGAATGATTTCAGAACAATGAAAAGGTAGACTTTTCTGTGTAATTTAGCTCCCTCTAGGAGCTCAATGCTATTGTCAATTTATCATAGCTATCTAATAAGTGAAATGTATTCCTAACCTGTAATTCCCTCTCAACTTCTCTACTTCCCATTGGACAAAATGCAATTCATCAATATTGAGATCTCAAACAGCTAAAGAAAAATGCCATAACTCATAACTATCAAAATGCTATTTTTAATTGAGAAAAAAGATAGCTTCTGATCATTAGTATACATGGACTCTCAACATCAAAACTCGAATTGGTAGGCAAAGTTTCAAAAACTCGGTACAAGTAATTACCAAAACATGAAGCAATGTAAAAACAAAAAAAAAGGATCCTGAACACACAATTAACTACACAACAATGCGAAGCAGATCTATTAATAAAAAACAGAACACAGATATAGATTAGTGCTTACCCGAGCAACATTAACCAAGTGACTAAAATTATCAACAATGTTGGTAATGTCAGTGTCAACCCTCTGCAACAAAGTCTTCTGCTTCTGAGCTGCAGCTGCTGCAGCTGCTGCAGTCGGTCCACTGCCAGCACCTCCAAGACCAACTCCCACACCCCCTCCTACTCCGACTCCAACTCCTTTGTTCATTTTTTATTCCTGGATGAGACATAATACAGGTATTTCTAACTTTTCCCAAAAAAAAATAATACAGGTATTTCTAACAACTGCAAAGTAATAATAAAGCCCTAGCAAGCAAAAAAGGTAAAAACAAGGGTAAAACGAAATAAAATAATGTCTCTTAACTCTCCAAAAAGAGATGTGAAGAGGCATTTCATTGCATGGTTTGGAATTTGGAAATTTACAGTGACCCTGATTGACCCCTAGGAGAGTTTGTGATGCACACATGAATCGTATCATCTTCTGTGGAAAAACAAACGAACAGCAATAATATGTATACCTTAAACTCTCCTCTTTTCATTAAAATTGGGAGGCATACCTGTTTATCAATGATGAAGGATTGCTCCACAGAGAGGGGAGGAGACCGCCTCAAAACACTCAAGATTTAGGAAATTTGTTTTTCTTTTCTTTTTCCCTTTTTTTCTAAGAAGATGTAAGGTAATTTTTCATTCAGTATGGATGGGGTTCAAAAGACCCCCAGGAAAATTGTTTTGATTTTCTCTCTCAACATAAATGTCCAAACTCTTCTTTTTCATTTTAAGAATTTGAAACTCAAAACAGGCGAGAGAAAAGGTTGATGACAAATGGTTCTTGTAAAGCAAACTAAATCGGAAATACAAATATCCAACTAGCTAAACATTTAATTGATGAATGAAGAATCCATAATAAACAATGCCATCTTTGTCATAAATAAAAATAAAACAAAAAGGCAAACAAGACAATACCTGATTTATCTATAATAACATAGAAACACAAGAAAAAACGTTTATGGATCAATAATGTTAACTATGTTGTAATGTTTCAGAAATATGGAAAAGTAGTATATACAAAAGCTGGTACCTGTAAGTAGGGGTATGTGAGCATCGGAAAACCAGGCTCACTTGCCACCTGGGCAGACACGGAGTCGCCACCCATCAGATTAGGAAATGGAGGTGATGGGACCTCCGAGATCAACATCAGAAAGCATGTTTGGTTTAATAGCGACTCCAAAGCCTAGGCACTGGCTAAACCAGTCCGGGTTAGACTCGGATGGGTTAGGCACCTCTCTCCCAAGTCCAAAGGCGGGGCCCACTTGGAATGCTAAAAATTAGTATGTACAGACTAAGGAAACTGATGACCCGGATTACATGAATACCTGAAACATATTATTAAACAAAAACAAACTTAATGAGAGACATAGCCTATTGCCACCACAGTGAGCACACATCTTAACAATTATTTTACTTACTGCACCAGCTAGAACAAACCATTTAACATGATCCAAGAAAACCGTATAATATGAAGATAAAAAACAAAAAGAGAAGATATAAAAATAAAAACAAAACAAAACGAAAATAAGGTGAAAGAAAACCATAAGCTAGAACACTAATCTACTATTCAGCAGAAATTAAAACACTCATACTAACTAAGCTTGTCATTCGGCAAGAACTAAAATCTTCTTGAAGCCAAACTGAATTGGAAAGAGCTTGATCAAACGCACCCGAAACCGATCAAACTTGTTACGGCAGTGGGTAAAACAAAATATAAAGATGTAACAGAAAATGAACGGCAACATTCAAGGACCGGAAACACCCATGCGGTTTGATAAGAGATAACAGAGAAGAATAGGTAAAAATGAAACGCAGCAAAAAAGTGGTGAAACAGCAAGGACAAAGGAATATCAAAGACCTGATAAAACATGTTAGCGAAAATTCAGAGAGAAAGATTAACGTGGAACCGGAGGTACAAATTTAATACTGGGAACCTTATGTAACAATAAACAGATTCGAAAAGTTCCATGCAGACTAAAACAATAATAAGAAAACAGAATAAGAAAGATAAAATTAACGAACAAGAAACTATCAGCAACTATCGGAAACAGACGAGAGAGACAGAAGCTATCAGAAATAAGAAACTATTAGAAAAGAGAGGTTAACAGAGGACAGATGAACCAAATTAAAGCTGACAGAGGATCGGTTTCTTCCTTTTCTCATTCTTCGATCATGCACAAATAAGTAGATAGAATGAGAAAATGGAAGAGTGAGGGCACTGAAACGGGTTGAAGGAAGATTACCTACTCGCACTTGCTCCCAAAACGTGGTCGGAGAACGAAGTAGCTGAATACCTCGGCGGGGATGGAGAACGATCTACTTCTGGGCTTCAGTGAAACCCAATTTGTCTAGCGAAGTTGGAATCGGTGCTGCACGGGTGCTCTGTCCGAACAAAACTTGCTCTGTAATTTTTAGAGCGAGAAGGAGCAATCGGAGGGGGGTTCGTTCGCTGCCGCTGTTCAACGGAAGACGATGAATAATGACGATAAACAGTGCTTTCGAAACAGATAAAAACAGAAGAAGAAAGAAGGGGAGATTTGATGGTGGGAAGGATTCCTTATCACCGCCGCTGTGCTTCTGGGCCTGGCGGAGGAAGGAAATGCACAGGGTCGTCGTCTCCAAGAATAGGTTCGGTGGAAGATGAAGAAGAAGAAGGGGAAGAGGAGGAAGACTGAGAGAGAGGGAGAAAAAGAGAGAGAAAGGTGAAACCGAGGGAGGAAGGAGATCTTCGCTACTCCGCCGCTGGTTCAAGCGGAGAAGATAATGAACAGTGCCTCTCCCGTCATTTCTTCCGGATTAGGTTAAACTAGCAGGGAAGCCCCCTGCGAACAAAATAGAAAAAATGAAAGTTTAGGGTACCTATCTGTCATTACTCAAAAGTACAGGATATCTATCTGTAATTTATTTTAATAAATTATATTATTATTTTCGTTAAATAAAATAATTATAACTATATTATTTAAGAATAATAAATAACTATAATGGTGAAGCCTAATCTGATCTATGTGTTTGGGTCTAGGTAGGACTAATTTCAAAATGAACAAAATTATAAACCCAATTATATTGAAAACAATAGTTGTTTTATTCAAATAATAACTTAAATTTTAAATTTTGATAATATAATTTTAATAAAAATAATAAAAAATACTAAATTAATTGTATGTTAATAAGTCAAAGGTGTATTCTTGTGTATCTTAAATTTTCTTTTTACCTATACATATCCAAAGTTCAAATACATTTTTGATATTTTAAACTTTGCACCCGAGTTTATATTACATAATTAAAATGTGATGCCATATAGATAGATAGATAAATAGACATATAAATAAATAGATGGATTTATATTCGGGGCATGAGGAGTGGGCACCCGCGTTAAGTGTAATTGGATTTGCCTTTAAACCAAACACAACCTTAGAGAATTGATTCAAGGTTTTGCCTTGAAACCCAACCAAATTAACCCATACTCACCCCTAGATCTAACCCTTAAACCATCCAGTTTGGTCCGTGACAATATTTATGGAGGGTCTCTCTAGGGTCAAATTACAACCATCCCAAAATCATTTTTAAAGAAAAAAATGTTTCATCCAATTATGTTTTCTCTGTTTGACCAAAAAATTACCGAAGTAGGAAAAGAAAGCCTCGATTTTAAGAGCACGATGGTAGTCTCCCTAGGAGGAGGGAGGACTTCTTCAACAGCCAAAGTTTTTCTTGGGAGTATGTACACGTCATATACAATCCTATGTCCTCTTCTAACATGAGCCACCTATATTCATAAACCCCTTAACCTATCCATCTTCTCCGATTAACTTAATTAGAAGAGGTCGGAAGGGTCTAATCGGGTGAAACACCTCTCTCTCTCTCTCTCTCTCTAGGTTGTCCTCTTCGATTCAAGCTGTCTCTCTCCTAGCCATCAACAGAATGACAGAAGGAGCAGTAGCGGGGGTCTTTTATACCCGGTTAGTTAATAAATAGTTCCTCCTCTCTCCCCATTTTAGAGTCTGGATCTCCTGCCCACATTAATTATAGCCACACATGGAGAACATCTCATCATCTACATAGTATTATACAGGGGGAGATGTTCCCAATTCACGGGGGTAGTGTGTTGTGGGTAGACGTGGGCAGGAGATCCAGACTGCCCATTTCACCCTTAATTCCTATCTTCAATTTTACTCTACACTGTTGGTTTTCAGCCTCATTAGATCTAAACCTAACTACCAATTTCTAATTCTCACCGGTTACGACAATTTCAAAAGATGATTTCATGGGGAGATCTCTACACGGTCTTAGCCACCATGGTTCCTTTCTACGTGGCTATGATCTTAGCCTATCAGCATATGGCTCAGTTCGGTGGTGGAAGATTTTCTCGTCGGACCAGTGCTCCGACATCAAACACTTCGTTGCTATATTCGCCATTCTGCTTCTCTCCTAGTTCATCTCTACCAACAACCCTTACAAGATGAACTTCCATTTCATCGCCACTGATACATTACAAAAGATAATTATGATCGTCATTCTCGGCATCTGGGCAAACTTTACCAGGAACGGAAGCCTTGAATGGTTAATCACAATCTTCTCTATCGATCTTCCATGTTGCCCAACACCTTGGTTATAGGGATCCCTCTCTTGGTAGACATGTATAATCCGAAGGCAGGCAGTCTCATGGTTCAGGTCGTCGTGTTGTAGTGTATCACCTGGTATACACTGCTTCTGTTCCTTTTCGACTACCATGGCATGAAAATGTTGATCATGGAGCAGTTCCCTGATACCACAAGATCTGCTATGAGTAATTATCTCCGTAGCCATAACCTTCTATATATCAGTACATGCTTTCCAATTGCATCCAACCGATTTGGATTACTCTCACGTGGGTCCATTTCCGGCACGAAGAGACCATCCTTATTGTATTAATATATATAAAAGATAATATGAGAGTCATCATTTTGTTTTTATAATGGGCTGGGAGTGTTTTGTAATTTTGAGGAAACATTGGTGTTTTTGATAATTTTTTGCAAGTTGGGTTAAACCGGGTTCTTGGTTCAATGATGGGTGGTCCCGGGTCAAAAAATTGGCGGGTTGAGGTGGGTCTGATGGTTGAGAAGGGGTTTGATGAGTGAGTTAATAGGATTAGCCGAAATAGAATATTTTTAGATGAAAGGGTTAACTAGGGAAATTTTGTAGAGTGGGGTTTCCGAACATTCTAGGTTGATTGGCAGGGTTTGATTGGCCTGACTGGGCCTGGATTGGGCATATCTTGAAAGGGTTCGATTCGGTTAATCTAGGGGTTCGAAATGGAATCTGTGTGATGAAGGGTAAATGAAGGTGTTTTGGGCTGGAATTTCATAGGGGTAGGATTGTTGGGTAATCTAAGGTGATTTGTAAGGTTAGATAAAGTCAACTAGGCCCAGATCAAACAGATTTGGAATCTGGTCAATCTAGAACCTCGAAATAAAATCTTTATAGGGTCGAGGGTAAACGAAGGTGTTTTGGGCTAGAATTTCATGGGATAGGATTTTTGGGATGTCTGAGGTGATTTTTAAAGCTAGATTAAGCCAATAGGGCTTGGATCGGGTAGATTTGGAGTCTCGTCAATCTAAAGCCTCAAAATATAATCTTTATGGGGTTGAGGGTAAATAAAGGTGTTTTGGGCTGGAATTTCATATGTAGGGGTTTTTTGTTATTCTGGGGTGATTATAAAACTTTGATTAGTTTATAAGTGTTCGGATCAAGTGGATATAAGTTGTGGGTGCGAGAATGGTCGAAATAGAATCTTTGTTTGATGGACGGGTGAATGAAGGAATCTTGAGTTCAAATTTCATGGGTAGGTGTTCCGAGATGTTCTGGGTCTAATGGTTGTGTATGATCTAATGGTCGAGGTGTAAGTGAGGGTCGATCGAGGCCATTGGATAGGTATTGAGCAGGTTTAACGGTGAATTTGAGGGCTCTCGGGGTGAAATTTGGGTTTTCTGAGTTATTGGGTGTTTCAAAGAGGTCGAAAGGGTCTAATCAGGTGTTTGGGGTGAATTGGAGGCTCAGGCGGTGGATCGAGCAAAAATCGGGTGCTGACAGTTGCCCCTCTTTGTTGTGAGGTGGGAAACTACGAAACAACAAAGACAAAAGAAGCACACAGAGATTTTTGCGATGGATAAGCTTGGAAGAAGGGCAAGACGAGGAAGGAGAATTACGGTAAGGGAAGGAAAAGAATAAGGGGAATTCCCGTGCAACATCCTTTCATTACGTTTCGACCATTTTATTCTTGGCAAAGCAACCTTTCCAAGGTATCAAGAACCTTTAGAATCAGGGTACATTTGCCTTGAAAGAAAATGATTGATAATAGGAAAACTATTTGGAGAAAAGACCCCTCCTTGTGTAATCAAGGATACATCTGTGAAAACTAGGTTTGGGTGAACCTATAAGAAACTGTATATGAATAAATCAGTGAAAACTGGATTAAAGTAAATTTGTGAAATCTGGATCTGGGATAAAACTGTGAGAACTGGACTAAAGTAAAACTGGATTTTGGAAATATCTGGATCAAAATACATATGGATTTATGAAAATTTGATTAAAATAAATCTGTGAAATTTGGATATGGGATAAATCTACAAAAATTGGATTAAAGTAGATATGCGAAATCTGAATATGGGAAATCTGTGAAAATTTGGATTAAAATAAATATGGGAAAACTATGAAAAATTGGATCATAGTAAATCTAGAAAATATGGATTTGGGAAAACAACTACAAAAAAATAGATTAAAGTAAATTTGGGAAAGCTGGATTAAAGTAAATATGTGAAATCTGGATGTAGGATAAAATGGTGAAAACTGGACAAAAAGTACATATGTGAAACCACATATGGGAGAATCTGCGAAAAACTGGATTAAAGTAGATATGCGAAACCTGGATTTGGGAAATCTGTGAAAACTGGCTTAAAGTAAATATGGGAAATTTGGATCTGGAAAATCTGTTAAACACTGGATTAGAGTAAATCTGGGAAATTTGGATATGGCAATACAGCTGCGAAAAAACTGGATTAAAGTAAATATGGGAAATCTAAATCTGGGATAAAACTGGACAAAGTAAATATGGATTTGGGAAAAATCTGGATTAAAGTACATTTGGATATGTGAAAACTGGATTAAAGTAAATATGTGAAATCTGGATTTGGGATAAATATGCAAAAATTGGATTAAAGTAAATCCGCGAAATCTGGATATGGGAAATCAGTGAAAAACTAGATTAAAGTATCTAGGAAATTTGGATCTGAAAAATCTGTGCAAATTTGGATCAGAGTAAATATGGGAAATCTGGATTTGAGAAAAAAACTGCGAAAAAATGGATTAAAGTAAAAATGGGAAAAGTGGATATGGGGTAAAACTGTGAAAACTAAACAAAGTAATTCTGGTTTTGAGAAAAATATAGATTAAAGTACATATGGATCCATGAAAACTGAATTAAAGTAAACATGTGAAATCTAGATCTGGGATAAATGTGCGAAAACTGGATATGGGAAATCTACGAAAATTAGATATGGGAAAAATTGGATTAAAGTACATTTGGATGTGCAAAAACATGACGAATGTAAATCTATCACTAAGAAAAACATGTTAGAGAAAGCAAACCACTCACAAAACACCAACAAATATTTTTTAGTCTTTTTCTTTCTTTTTTTTATAACATTTTAAAAGATTTGACAGAGTTTCAGATAATATTCTTCTCTATCTTTTTTTTTATTTTTTTGGTTTGTTTTTTATTACTTATGTCATCTCTATTTACTCAATTAAAACTAGTACTGGTCAAAGAATGGAGATTTACAAACAGGACTTGTAACACGGGTCAAGGCA